GCCGCGGCTGCGCTCCGTGTTTCACGCGGGCCGGGGGGTTGCTGCCGTAAACGAGCGCCACGCGTTTCACAGGCAAGAGGAAACAACGGGAGGCCGGCGGGATGCTGGGAGTTTCATCGCAGCGATTTCCACAGCTGCTGCGTCGCGGGGCAGGGTGCACACACAGAGGAAACAGGGCGTAGTAGCACACCGATGTGTATTTACACTCCCTAGAAGTTCCTGTTTTTTCTTCTTTTAAAGCCCGAGGCCTTCAACACCGTTCTAGGAAACAAGTAACTTTCTGCAGGCCTCTTTGAGCGTCTCTTGTTCTGTCCTGGATTTAAATATCACTCCCGAGACCGTCTGAGTTTGCAGAAAACGCATGTTAAGTAGCTGCTAGCAGACGGGTAGATAATGAGGAAGTCGACGCGATGATGCTTAATTTGTTTTATTTCTAAAGGGGGAAGCAGGTGAGGTTTAAAACCATTAGACCTTTAATGGCAGTATTTAGGAACTCGGTCACATTCTGTGAAACAGTCCTGCCTTCCTTTCAGTTTTCGTGTTTGTTGTTGCTCATTTGTTGCCCATCGGTCAAGTGGGTGAATCTCACTGGAACGTCCAGCTGCTGGACCTGTTTTGTTAGGGGGAGGAGCTTAAATGCTGCACAGTGTCCTCAGGCCCATTGGTGGTGAGACACAAATTCTCACCCTTCACTCATCCCCCCCCCACTCCCGCAACAGCTCTGAAGAGCCTCTCATATTATTATTTGAGAGGACCACTCTCCGTTTCTCTGTAACAGGAGATCACATTCAGGACTGCCGCTCCAGTCAGTTTCCTCCCCTAGTAGGCTTATTCTCATTCAGGCAGGAGCGGGAATTCTGGGATTTGACTTATTTCGGGGAAAAATGTCTAATCATTGAGCATTTCTTGCAACACAGCAGAACATGCATCTCTGTTTCTGTTTCTCCCTGCTTGTCGTGGAAGCACATTTTACTGGATATTTAATGAAAATGCTTTTTTTCCCCTTGTACTCTTCCTGCTTGATTTGCTGATATTGATAGATTTTTCTGGGATACTGATTTCTAGCAAATCATCAATGTGCTTCAAGCAGAATCTCTTTAAACTGTTGCCATTTTCCACTGATATCAAATCTGTTGCCACCCATCCTACACCCTTAACCGTGTCTCCTTCCCTCAGAGTCTGCTCTCCTGTGGCTGTAGCCTCTGTACAGCTTCAAAATCTACTTCAAAGCACACCATAGCACGAGCTCGCTCCCTGGTGGCTCTCAGACCGTTTCCTTCTCTCAGACTTGACTGTTTGAGAAGACGAGATCTGTACGAGCATTTCCTCTTGTAGACGTCCTGACACACTGGGTAAGAGCTGTCATTAACCATGCCTGCCCCTGCAGTTTCTACTGCGGATATTCCCACAGGTCTGTGCTGGTCTATATACCTACCTGTCCCTTTGCACATCACCTCTTTATTCCGTTTCACGTCACAGTGCTGAATGCTAATCGACACTGTATCTGTGGGTGGCACAATGGCAGAGGGGGTCGGCAGCGCTGCCTGGTGCGCTGTCTGTGTGGAGTTGGTGTGTCCCCCACGTGTTCGCGTGGGTTTCCTCTGGGTGCTCCGGTTTCCTCCAATAGTTCAAAGACATGCAGGTACTGTAGGTTAATCCGATTCTGGGAAAACTAGACCCGGTGTGAGTGCGTGTGTGTCTGTGTCTGTGTGTGCCCTGCGATGGACGGGTGTCCTGTCCAGGGTGTGTCCTGCCCTGCACCCATTGCTTACCAGGATAGGCTCTGGCAGCCCTCCATTGGATGAAGAGGCTAAAAAATGGATTGTTCTGCATCCGGTGGTTTTTCAATGGGCCTGACCTACATGGAATCATCCCTATGGATTCCTCTAGCTTTAGTTCCTGAGCCTGAATACTCTTTATGATAAAAACCTTGCTCTCTTCTGTCTTTCCTGTCTCTCTGTCCGCGTGTGCCTGCTAATACTGCATTCGTCTCCAGCATTTGAAGTGAGTTATGTTTCTTTGATTTCATTAACATCACAAGGTATAAGTACCTAATTACGAGAAAATGGTTTAGCTAGGTCTGCCTATGTTGCGCAGTTTCTAATTCAGGTCTGCTAGTGTCCAGGCTGTGGTTGCTGACCTTGTCTTTCACCAGGGTCTGTTCCTCCTTGCTGTCTGGATGTCTACCTCATTTTGTAATGAGCCAGCTCACATTTCCTGTGGCAGCTGTCTGCCAGAAAATCAAACCCCCCCACCTCACAAGGTGCTGAACAGATTCTCGGCCATCGCTTCCTCTCCAGATCACGAGATTTCTTTTGACTTGAACTTCAGGCCCCTCTTGTGTGCCTGGTGTGAATTTATTCAGTTTGACTTCTACTCTGCGGAGATGCCTCTTCACGTTCAGCCCTGCCTCGTGCTCTGTACAGCCAGTCAGGAGCGAGATCTGTGCCACACTGGGTGGTGTGTAACAACAGAGTACGGCTCTTGTGCTCAGTCTCCTTCAGCCCAGCTCTGCTTTCTAGTTAGACTTCAGAGAGAGATGCTCATGCTGGCTTCGCCCTGTGTGCTCTACTTTAAAGAGCACCTGCTGTTTTGTAGCAGATCCCAATATTTTGAATGATTTCATTTCAGTTCTGTTTCACATCCTGTTGTGCGGTTCTTAACGACGCTCTGCAGTCGGTTTCTACTTAGACAGTTTTTCATGAACTACGAGGAACCTTTTTGTCATCCAAACAAAAGAAAGCAGAGAGGATTCCCCAAGATAGCCTGGGTCAAAGATCTGGGAGGCTCCCTAACGCAACCTGCCACACTACACAAAGATGGCCTGCAGAAGAAAGAGCACAGGGTGTTGTAAGAACACCCACAACAGGCCCACAGCCAGCAGAGCAAATATCAGCCTTGTGCAAGACCACCTACACGGAGCTCCTAGCTGCCAGCTCCTGCTCTGCAAGACTCCACCCTGTTTCACGCATTGTGCTCGTCAAAGCTCATGTAGAGACATTACAGATCCTGCAGGCCCCTGCACAGGGAGGCAGCAGGTCTGCCCACCCGAACAGTGCAGACGGGCTCCGGAGAGGGCATCACTCTGAAGTAACCCTGTTACCATGGCAGCACCCTGCAACTGCAGTGCACGCCCACCTCCAGCACCAAGGTGTCTGCTCGACTGCGGCCCTTTCACTTGCTTGCCTTACTGGAACCGTTTCAGGCAGTGTGACTCCTGATCGCTCCCTGCAGGTCGGCCGGTGAGCCGGTCAGCAGCGGGCCAGGGAGTGCGGCTCTTGCTTCTCCAGCAGCAATGTGGTTTGGGTTTCAGTTTCGCATCCTGCCACTCAAATCCTGTACTTGTGTATTCATTTGAGACCTAGGCAGCCAGTGCCTCTAGAAAAACAAAGCCACAAAGGAGTTTTCACCTGCAGAATCAGTCTTGGTCTTCCAAACCTCTCCAGCCCTTTCTCACCCTTCTTTTCTAAACACCTGGTCTTCTGTTCAGAGTATGACCCAGCCGAACACCCACAGCTGCTGACATTTCCCATTTAACCACTAGTTTTCTGTCAGCTGGTTTCTGGCCCTGCTCTGTGTTCCCGCAGTACCTTGACATGCAGTTCTTCTGAGTTTGGTACAAGTCTAATTATATCACCGTGAAGTGTGGGGATTAACATGCATGGTGTACATACTCTGTATATGCGTCTCACAGATGATGATACCGGTTATCAGTGATGGAATGAAGCAACACTGATCAGACAAGTTAATCGTGACTGTTAAATTACTGAAGTGAAAAGGGAGCAGTCTTCTTCCTCAGACGTGTTACAAGTCACTTGTTTTAGTCTACAAAAAGGAGGATATCACTGCTTTAGGGACTGCAAATGACACATTCTGAACAGATAAAGTTACACTGAAGTAACCACTCATAAAGCATTTACAATGTGTGTTGGAAAAAATCTGGCTTCGTTACAAATCACACAATTAATCATTAATAGGGGTCAGCACCAACCAGTTTATCAAGACTCAGTTATGTCCTGTTAATCAATTACAATTTACAAAAGAATTATCCCTAGAATTTGTCCGCTGTAGGTAGTTATTGAAAAGGCGAAAAATACATAACCTTTATTTCCACTAAATTCATAAAACAATTTATTTTATTCTTATATAAAGCCAGAGCATTTTCAAGACATTTTATGGAGTTCGTAACAATTCAGAAGAAATCTCCCTGGAAGATTACAGATAGACAAAGTCCAGACATGAAGAAACCTGCCGATTTACCCCGCCCCTGGAAGCAGAAACCCGTCTCATCTCGGGTCAGCTCACTCAGACGGGGCCCGAGCAGAGCCGCGGGCCCTGTCACTTTAAAGAAAGTCTCACTTCCATTTTCGAGCTGTAGAGGTAGGCAATTCATAGCAGGAAGCCCTGCCAGAAGCCACTTCCCCTGTAGCTATAACCAGCTGCTGCAGCACCGGCCTCACAGGCAAGCTCAGCACAGCGGCTGCTCTGTCTTCCTGTCTGCTCTCTCACTGCCAGGCTCAGGCCCCCCGCCACAGTGCCCCGGCCCCTTCTCTCTCCCTGCGTCCTGGCTGGTCTCCCCTGCTCTGTGAGGCCAGGCACTGCCTGTACCTGCTGGGTCAGGCGAGAGCAGAGTCCGAAGTTCCAGCCCTCATACGCTCCCGTCGTCTCTGCTCCCTGTCTCTCCCGGGACACTGCGTTTCAAGGGCCTGGGAGCCTCCCTGCAGGTGCTCCTCTGTCATGTGCTGGAGGGGGAGGTTACCTTGGGGTTCAAGTGGGGAGCCGGACGCTGGAGGAGAAAGTTAACATGCAGGTTAGGTCAATAGGTAAACCCAGCTTGGGAATTACCCACCCCATACATATTCCAGGTGGAGAAAACTCTGCCTCTCTTGAGGTTCCAAGCATCATCCCCTTTCCTTTCCCTGGGCCCTCGGAGAGCGAGCCTCTCTAACAATAACGACATATCAGCACCCCGACCGTCCGTCCGTCTCCTCATTGTTACTGCCTTCTCACTCTCTGCCTTGTGCAACTGAGTGATTGACACCTGAACAGAGTTTTGTAATTTATTCAAATGTGTGAGGTAATGTGAATGAACTCTTTCACAGCCCTGTACTGTCTGAAGAGGCTTCTAAGCCTGTCTTCAGTGTCTGTATGGTCAAATTTAAGGACACCTACACTTTTCTCTATTTGTGGGCACAGTTTATAAAGACATGCGAGTAGGGAACTGTGAGGGGCTGGAAAGGGACAGGTAAAGGTTTATTCCTAAGTAAAGGAAAAGAGGTGAAACGCAGCGTTGTGGCTTTCTTCAGGTGTGAAGGAGAGAAGGAATCTAGCAGATAAATAAGGCATTGGAGAACAAAATACAGAGTATTATACAGAGTATTATACAAAATACAGAGTATTATACAGAGTATTATACAAAATACAGAGTATTATAAGAAGAGTATAACAAATAGAATATTTAAGAAGGGAGAAAATGGACATGGTGAGAATGAGTGTCTGCTCTCAGGGAGTTTGCACACCAGTTGATAAAGAGACCTCCTTTTCTCCTCCCTTAAAGCTGAAATTGCAATCATTTTGCAGGGGAGAGACACATTAGTTGCTAAAGAGATAGCTCGACAGTTAAAAAGACAGATGAAACCAGAACGTGTCAGTATTTAAACACTGACACCAGTCAAGAGTTCAGCTCACCACCTTCGTGGTTGAAGAACAAGAACATGCTGTTGTGGCGATGTGGTGTCATGCTGCACGTAACAACAAACTGAAGCAGGGCCAGTTACACACAACAGGGTCTTGTTGTTTTAAAGATTATGCTAAAAAGGAAGGGCAGCCTCTGTTCTGCTCCTGTGATCTGCAGAAGCCACTGTCTGACTGTGAGTCCCAGCAGTCATGTGAATGGGTGAGGTCACTCAGGGCATCAGAACTGCCCTGGGAGCACTAATTCTTCACAGGCATCAGTCTAGCTCCTGACTCACAAAGCAGGGCTTGTTGTGTGCTGTCAGCATGGAGCACAGTTCCCTTTACAAATCACTGTTGCAAGGCCTGTGTTCCAGCCGTAGAGCTCATTGTAGCTAGAGATGGCTGTGCACTTCCAGGCTCAGATCATGAGAGTGAACATGGCTGGGCAGCTCGTTCTATACTCCCACATCTCTTTGTGTAGAGAAGTACCTGTTGTTCTCTGTGATGTGCCACATACACATTAAAAGCAGTTAAAGGAAAGAGGCACACATGAACATCAGGGGGAACCTGTGGAAACCAGGACAAAGAGCACCTCAGATCTGCGCAGGTGCCCCACTGATAAAGGTTCATCATTGTCCTTGTGCAAAGAGGAAGGCAGGTTAGACTTTCCATTTCCGAAAATTTAGCAACTAAGTGACTTGCTACTAAAGCAATATAGTTTTGAAGTTGTTTTTACAAGAGAAGAGCAATTGTCTTAGGTGCAGTGCTCAACGGATTCCATATTTTGAGCAGTTCTAATGCTTTTAATGGGCAAAAATATTGACACACTCCTGTTAGGGGACAATAGCCTCTGTCAGGGTAAGATGTGCAGTGACAGGTGTTATCGATGCACAAGAAAAAAAGACAGAGTAGGATGAAGACCTCCAGCTCTTGCAGCACGCGGACATGACTCTGCCTCCTCTTCCTCACACAGACCATGGCCACCACTGTGGCTCAGCTCCACATGGCTCTTCCTCACAGCAGCAGCTACTGGTCCCTCCAGCACTGTGGGGTGCTGTGCTTCGTCAAAGACAACCCCAAGAGGTCCTATTTCATCCGGCTCTACGACATCAAGGTACTGTACAGCCCCCGCAAGCCCTCTGACTCTCTGCTACAGCACAGCTGCCTGGGGAGAGCTCTCTTTCTCTCTCGGGGGTTTTTCATGCGATGCACCAATTGCTCTGGGACAGATCGCAACCAGTTAGCAACATGTCGGTTTGGCTCTGACTCCCTCAGACACAGAACCGCTATCTATCGTAACTCAAGAAGTGCAGGTGACAGATGAGGAGTTGCAGCGGAGTGTGGCTGTGCCTGTAAGGATATTTCTCTTTCTGTGCTCGTAGGAGGGGACAATGATCTGGGAGCAGGAACTGTACAACCAGTTCACATACTCATCCCCAAAGCCCTACTTCCACACCTTCACCGCTGATGTAAGTAGCTCATGCTTTCAGTCTCTCCCTCTCTGCTCTCGAACTGTCTAGAGTTCCAGCTCTCGACACCCTCTTCTCATTGCTCTTACTGGGGTGGGAGACCTGCAAGGCAAACCAGGCTGCTGCTGTATATGGTGCCGGTGGACCAGCAGGTGGCGCTGTTCCCTCTGGAGCAGAATGACCAAACCAGCGCCCCAGTGTGGGGACAGCAGACGCTGACACTGTGCAGTAGGAGGTCTGTTCTCCAGACGAGGCTTTAAACTGACTGTCTGCTCGGCTGCAGGACTGTCAGGCGGGGCTGAACTTTGCTGATGAGCAGGAAGCTGCCAACTTCCAGAAACACGTGGAGGAGAAGATCAACCAGAGACTGAATCGTCTAGGTGAGTCAGGCTGGGCCTCTGGCAGTGGGAGTGAATCCCACTGAATCCCATGAGTCCAAAACTGAAACACCACACTTCCCAGGTTAGGGTTGCAGATACCCAGAGCCAATCCTGGAAACACAGGGTGTAAGACAGAACTCAATGCCAGGCCGTCACACAGCACACACACACATACTAACACAAACTGTCAAATACACACAGACACACAAAGGAACAACGTAGGGACTCTAACTAACCTCCATGTCTCGTGGGGAGATGGAAGGAAACCAGAGAACACAGAGAAAGCTCATGTGAACACAGGGAGAACATGCAAACTCCACACAGACAGATGCCCAGGGCTAGAACAGAACCCAGAGGCTGTGAGGCAACTGAATACCTGCCACACCACTGTGCCACCCCAAAAATGAAGTGCTGATAAACTGTAAAGGCAGTGTAAAATATTTAACTGGATTCCCAGCCAGCAGGGGAACTCGGCGTCTGACTAACAGTTCTTCTCTCTCCTTCCTGTCGCCTCCAGAGAAAAGACAGCTTCCTCCTCCTCCTCCTCCCTCTGCAGATGGTGAGTTCCCTCTCTTCCTCAGCCAGTCTCGTGGACTGCAGTTTCCACCTCCGACACCACCCTGCAGGAGGCCTGGGGCCCCGAACCGCAGCCCAGGGGACCAGTGCTGTGCACAGGGCCGCAGGGAGCGTGTCTCCACGCCGGGGGGGGCGTGTGCTCATGAAATCTGTGCTTGTGCAAATGAGTTTGCCCCACACGCAGCACGCTGCATCACAGCCCCCTGTACTGTACTGGGCCTTTACAGATTCCACCGTGCTGCAGTACACCCTCCTCCGCTCACTGTCGTGAGGAGGTTTTCTCCTCACTTGCAGAGGCATGAGACCTTTGCCCTCTATGCAGAGATCAAACAGACTAGAGGCCTGGAGGCCTGATCCCCTCCGTCCCGGACGAGAGCTTCAGGCCTCTGCTCCTCTGCCCCGCCCGACGGCACTCGCGACACGCCGCAGGGTTTATACCTGCGGTGTGTTTCAGAACCAGTGCAACAGGGCTCAAGACACCTGGAGCAGCGTTCAGTACGGTCAGGAGTCGATGACGGCCATTAACCAAAATGAACCAGCCCACGTCTAAACGAAATGTTTTACCTTTACAGAAAGAAGGAGTTTACCGCCTCTGCCACCACCCAATGCAAACGGTGAGTGTAGCCCCCTGAGGTTTGCCACCTCTTTAACCAAAGAATTGCCGATTCACTTATTATAGATGAGAGCCATGAACATGTTTAATTTGATCTCATATGAAGCAAAGTCCGAGGGGGGTGGCAGTTCAGAGTCCTGGAATCTGAACTTCTGTCCGATGAGCTTCCTCACAGAGCAGCAGAGTGAAGAACAATGAGATGATTCCTCATTCGATCTTCTTGTGAGGATGGCCCAGGCTGTTCCATATGAATTGTATACAGTATGTGATGTGTTAAAATCTGAGAGCTAATAATTGTCCAATATTAACATACTAAGTGTCTTGTATCCAGTGTGTTGTGTGTTGGGTGCTGTATGCAGTCTCCACTGTGTTGTGTGCAGTGTTGTGTGCTGTGTGCAGTGCAGTGTCTTGTGTGCAGTGTGCTGTGTGCAGTGTGTTGTGTGCCCTATGCAGTGTCGTGACACTGTGTCAGTGGTACAGATGCCACCACAGCACAGAAGCTCTCCTCCTCGCTCACCCCTCGCCCGGCTCTCTCGGCAGGCCCAGCTGCATCGCCGGTGACCCCCGGCCCCTACCCCATGGCCACCATGGACATCCAGAACCCAGACATCCTGGCGTCGCGGTACCGGCCCGCCCCTGCGCCGGCACCCGCCATACTGGAGAAGGGGAAGAAGAACAAGAAGCAGAACAAGAAGAAGGGATCCAAGCTGACCAAGGCTGACATTGGGGCGCCAAGCGGGTTCACGTGGGTATCGCTGTGCCTGTGGGGGTGTCACCACTGTTGTGGGGAGCTAGCAGGACGGGCAGCTGCTGACCGCAGGCAGGAGAGGGACAGGGAGCGCATCTGAACACAGAGCCAGGGGAAATGTTTCTGTACAAATCCAGGATCACAGCAGCTTGTGCCCCTGAACACCACAGACCAATGAGCTGCTCAGTCACTCACAGCAGCACCAGCTACTGATCTTGAGTTCCCTGCACAGCTATCTCTATGCATGGACAAAAATACTAAAATAATAATAATAATCAAAAAGGCACCTTTTGTACGAATACTGCGATGCCTCTCTATGGGAACAGAGTCTATCCCAACAAGCAACAGGCACAAGGCAGGACACACACACTCACACCAGGGCCAGTGTCCCCAGAAGCCAGTTAACGCACCCGTGATGTCTTCCGACTGTGAAAGTGAACCGGAGCACCCAGAGGAAACTCAGGAGAACACGGGGGAGAATATACAAACTCCACACAGACGGGTCCCAGAGAACAAGCGCTATGAGGCAGGAATGCTATCCACGGTGCAACCACGCTGCCCGCAATTTGTATTCGTATGATAAAATGGCTCCTACTACAGCGCTAATTCAATCATCTGTCCCCCTTGTTGGACTTCTCAGCCCACTGTCAGCTGAGCTAAAACGTCGTACTTAAAATGATGAAGAATTATGTTCAGGGTTCTGTACAGCAGACGACGGTGGTTCCCATAGGGCCCCATGATGAAGAATGATGAAATTATTGCAGTATGAATGCTGTCCACAGGGAGTAATTAACTAAGACCCTCATTAACCAGACTGCCGGACAGGTTACAAACGAGCTGAGGCCATTTAGCCCATCCAGACTGGTTACTGTGTCAGCAAGCACAGAGGACTGATCCCAATATAGTGTAATAAAATTTAATTGCCACTGTAAGAACATAAGACTGGTTACAAACACAGGAGTCTGTTTCGCCAGTCTTGCTCTTCTGCTAATTGGTGGTTAATTAATCCCAGGATCTCATCCATCTGTTTCTTGAATGAATCCAGTGTATCAGCTTAATCAATATGGCTGTGTAGCTTGTTCCACACTCCTACAACCCTTTGTGTAATGAGGTGCCTTCTGTTCTCAGTTTTTAATGCACTTCCCTGTAGCTTCTGCATCTCTCCCACGCTCCACAGAATCACTTGCTGAGTCCGATGTCGCCCATTGATTTGACTTTTCCTCTGAGGATTTTTCCAGATCAGCAATTTCTCTGTTATATCATGGTGACCAAAACAGTGCACAGATGAGATGCTTCTTCGATCTTATTTCTTCCGTCTCTGTTCACAGCCACGTGTCTCATGTCGGATGGGATCCCAACACTGGATTTGATGTAAGCTTTCCAATTGCTTTCTAAATCTGAATTGCTGTCTGAGTGTTCTGAGAATGATCCAGAATAACAGGTCCACCTGCAGGCACCAGGGCTGTATGGAGCCAAGTGTCCATCACTGTGCTCTGATCTGGACCTCAGCAGGTCCACCTGCAGGCACCAGTGCTGTACGGGGACATGTGTCCATCACCGTGTTCTGATCTGGAAAGCTGACAGCAGCCAGGCAGTTCACAGGCCTGCACTGGGAGCCCCTGGTCTACTGTATGACAGGCAGTCATACATTGTACTCATTGCTGTCTGGGGCTGATACACCACTGCGCTTTATATACAGAGCACTACTCCCTAGCACAACAGCAAGCACAATACAGAGCAGGCTCAAAGAACACACACATCTGGTGTGTCTGTGGTTTTGTGCAACTTCCGGAATCTTTGCTGAGAAAGGACACTATAGTACTTTCACGACGTGAAGATCAGACATTTCCATTGCTCAGCAGAAGGTGCTTATTTGCACCATCGAAGCCGTGTTTGTACCCTGTGGTGTGTGCAGGGCTATAGAGGCCTCCCTAAAAGTGTGCTTCTGTGGAACCCGGGCAGGTGAACAACCTGGACCCGGATCTGAAGAACCTGTTCTCCCGGGCTGGGATCAGCGAGGCCGAGCTGGCAGACGCAGAGACGTCCAAGCTGATCTACGACTTCATCGAGCAGTCGGGGGGGCTGGAGGTGATCAAGCAGGAGATGAGGAGACAAGGTGAGGATCCGGGGGTGGTCAGTGGACCAGCTCAGCTCTCCCCTCCGGGGGCAGCGGGGTGCTGCTCCGGGTGTTCGGATTCCTCCCTTTTCCCGGAGCGCTGGGAGTGGGTTTCAATGGCCTGAGCTTTTTCTCAGCCACGGAGACACAGACACAGTCTGATGGGTTTTTATTGTTCTTCTTTCTGCCCCCAGATCCCCTGCCCCCCGGCCGCCAGGGCCCCCTGCCCCCCA